GTTGTGTTCCCACTAGTGCTGTCAGCGTTAACCTCGTTGAAATGACATTATCGCCACAACACGGCAAATCTCCGTTAACGAGCTACCGCGGATCGCCCCGTGCGTGGGGCTGGATGGCCAACACGTTAACGAGCTAACTGCGCTAACGCACTAGTTCCCACCAATGTAATTGAGCATTGCGTGGCACATCCAACATACTGTTTTACTTTTGTCCATGACGCGCTTACCTTCAGGGTCATACGTCACATGAAAACCAAAATAGTTCCAAACGCCAGATCTGAATGAGGGTGGGGGAGGTTCAATTTGCCATGTTGCAAGGAGAGCTTAACTTCTGTCTTGCTAGCTTGCCCTGCGCTCAGTGAATCTGCGTTCGACTACTCCGCCTAGGCTGCACTGTCGAGCGCAGATCCACTGAGCGCTCAACACAGACAGCATCGTCAGAAGGGCGGTAGCTCGTTAACGGAGATTTGCCGTGTTGTGGCGATAATGTCATTTCAACGAGGTTAACGCTGACAGCACTAGTGGGAACACAACAAATATGACTGCAAATTTACGCCGACATCATACTCGTGCAAAGACAAGTCGAAGCAGACAAAAACAACAAGCACGCATGCTACAAACTTTACCCGAGTCATTTAGACAGCCGTTAGCACATGATTCTCCTTATGGGGCCTTGATATGTTTAATATGCTGCTGATAATGTAGCCCAGAAGAAGCGTATAGTATAGCTTTTATTTTGGAAAGAGCCATTTCTCTGTAATAAACTCTCTTTTCCAAAGATGAGTGATTTCTCGATCAGATATATTTATTTTTTAGTACTTTGTTGTTTCAGCAACATTAAATTTAAAAACTGTACTTTTGAGTTAAAATACATATTTATACTTTTAATAAATGACAAATTAAAAAGGCATGAACATGTTTTTTTGTATCGAAAAAATATCGAACCGTGACACCAAAGTATCGAAACGAAACAAACCGTGAATTTTGGGTATCGTTGCACCCCTAGTACTTACATATGATTTCTGGAGGTGGTTGCAGGACAACATGTATCCAATGAGGCAAGCGTTGGTGAAGAGTGGGCAGTCACATAAGTGTGGCTGGAGGTTTGAGCAGAGCTCTTTGGGAATGCAGATAAGTTAGAAATCAGGATCACTGTGTGAGCTAAGAGTGGTACTGTTAACACGAGGAGCCCAATTATCAACATGGGAGGTGTAACTTCTGACAGAGATCTGCAGATTTCCAAACACTAAATGCCTCTGATGATGAGGAGATACCTAACAGGTGCAGAGGGCCCCAGACCAGGAACATCTGCCCACAACATCACCTGCACAGATGAAAACAACTGAGTGAAAGTAAAAAGAAACAAATCAGAATACTTTGATAGTCCATAAGGAAATGATGCACTATTGACACTGATGAACACTCTAAATACTAGTAAAGGACAAAGATGATGCATAATAAATACATGATATATAAATATATATATAAAATACATGTTACACATGTCCAGTGTAACATGTAACAAGCAGTGAGACAAATCAAAAATAAAGCAGGTTATATAATTTAATATATATAGCATGTGTGTTCTTTGCTGAATAGACTCGTTGCCGGTAGAAAGTCTCCACCATCTGTTGCATAATTTCTGAGGGCAACCAGGAGAACAGACTGTTGTGGATCTGTTTAGTCCCTTTTGACTCTCGTGTGCACTCCAAGGCACTGCTGGGTTTACAGCTCTTCCAGGCTGGGCAGCTTACAAACCAGTGCTGCACTGCACATACCCTCTAGGGCCTCGCTAGTGTGGTGGCCATACCAGGTGGTACACTGTTAAAAAATCCTCCGTCAAAATACGGGAAATGTCCTGGTAATTTTCTGCCAGTACATTTTCTGTTTTTCTACGGAAACAATATTTGAACAACCTGCTCAATTGAGATCTCATCTATAGACCATTCCTGTTACCCAATTCAGTGCATATAGTTTTGACAATGTTTAATTCCAGTATGTTCATTTTGACACATTTGGTAATATTCTTCCTTAGTTCTTCTAAATTATTTAAAATTATACTCAAAACAATTTGGTTGTCTATATACTGTGTGAAGACAACCAACCCTCTCAAATGTGATGCTGCTAATGCATTGGATGGTAATATTCCCTGATTTGACAACTGGAAAGTGTGTAATATAGACTACAAACCCATAGTAAGTATGCAGGGGGTGCATGGGATGCTCAGTCCACCAGCTGTGCAAATCTGTTGCTGTAAAATAAAGCAAAGAAAGTAAGTAAGTAAAATTTATTTATATAGCACTTTTCACAGATAAAAATCACAAAGTGCTTTACAACACAGGAAATGGGAATATAAAAACAATATAACAGTAAATAAAACAATGTAAAACAATAAAACTATAAAAACAGCATAAGAAGAAATTAATCAAATGCTTTTCTAAATAAAAATGTCTTCAGCTGTTTCTTAAAAGAATCAATGGAGTCCGTGCAGCGAAGAGACAGTGGGAGAGAATTCCACAACCGTGGTGCCACAGTCTGAAAGGCCCGATCACCACGAGTTTTAAAACGAGTGCGGTACCACCAGCAGTCTCTGATCTAATGACCTTAAAGCCCGAGAAGATGTATGTGGTTTCAGCAGGTCAGATAAATATTGAGGAGCCTGACCATGTAGGGCCCTAAAGGTTAGAACTAAAATTTTAAAATGAAACCTAAAATTTACAGGCAACCAGTGAAGGGAGGCCAAGACTGGAGTGATATGCGATCTTCTCTTGGTGCCTGTTAAGAGACGTGCTGCAGCATTCTGCACAGTCTGAAGACGATTTAAGGCTGATTTGTTAAAACAAGTAAAAAGGCCATTACAATAGTCTAAACGAGAAGAAATAAAAGCATGAATAATCATCTCAAGTTCAAGCTTTGATACCATTAGTCTGAGTTTAGAAATATTCGTAAATGATAAAAGCACTTTATGTTTCGACAGCTACTTAAAGCGGGTGCTAAACCCACCTTATTTTGGTACATAAGATGGTGAGGGTTTTCCTTGAAGTACTTTGCAATTCCAGCTATCAGTGATAATGGACCTTCCAGTATTTCGATGCCTTTTAAGTTAAGAAAGTCTTTTATGGGCTTTCTTTGATTGTTAGTTCTTCTGATAGCTTTGTTTGAACTGCAAAGCCAAGGAGAGTCTGTGTGTGCTCAAAAAGGTGGACTGCCTCAAAAAGGAAGGGCCACTCATCCACTATTTTGTTTACAGCAGTTCCTTTGTTTATAGTTGCACGTTGGATGCAATATGTTTCAGCCATCAGTTTTCGAACAGATGATTCCTGAAGACGGTCAGTGTTGAAGGCTCTTTTTAACTCTTCTTGCTTAATTTCTAGTTCTTCTGTGTCCTCAACTGCAGGCTGCCACTCAACACATCCATACCAATCTGAACATGTAGGCTTCTTCTTTCTGGCTTCATCATCTGCCATTTTCTTTGCTGAGCAGACCGTTAATGGCCTCCTAACATTTTCAACTCTGTTTTCTAGCTGTATAAACAAAGACTCATATCCTGTTCCAATGACTTTAGTTCCACTGAGCTCTCTGTCTTGAAAAGAGAAGGGATATTCCTGCACAATCTGCCTTGCAATCTCTCGCAGCTTTGCTCTTCCTGGTCGTATGTTTTCTTTACAGAGGACATCATCAATAATAACACGAACAAGTTCTCTTCTCTCCTTAGGCTTTGGTCTCTTCTTTTCCCTCAACGCAAGCATGAGGTTGGGAGGCATTTTGTGCCATGGTACAGCATATGGCTCACAGGGTAAGGAATAATCCATGGGACCAGGAGTTAGAGATGATGTTTGGGGCTGATGGTCACTCTGTGGCAAAGGTCTTGAAATGGAGACCAATCCAACTTGTTGCTCTATGAAATACACAAATTAATATTAGCTCAGTTTTTAAAATTACTTACACACATAATTTTAGTCAACAATCTGGGGAAGGTATACACAAATCTATTCATAACTTTGCTTTGGTAGCAGCATTTCCTTTGGAAAAAAAATTGCACACACACCCCTATAGACTTACCGACACTGAAGGCCTGAATCAGTCTTTGACACTGAATAGGTGGTAGAATTCCATCGACGTCCTCAATCCTGACAAAGTTAAGGTCATCTACACTGTTTACTCCAATCACTTCCAGTCGAGCCATGAGTAAATCCATGAGATCATTGCTGAGCAATGGCATAGCTTTTTTAACCAACTCTTTTACTAGCTCCATAGTGGCATATGCTTAAGCGGGAGGAGGGACCTTGCACCTTTCTGATAAAAGGAAAGGGGAGAAAAATCACCAAGCTGGTCAATATTTTTGCAAATGAGCTTATCAGAACAACTTTTCTCAAATTCATAGACCCCAAGCTCAGGCACCCAGCTGGCATTTTTCTCCCTCAGCAAGAAGAATGTTTTATAATGCTATAGCCAACGTAGCGTCTTGGTCTCATTGCGGCTTCTCTGAATCTTGACTTGAACTTATGTCACAATAGTTCTGTACTAATCTGAACTATGTCTTAGACACTACAACTAATGTATTAACAGACTATTTGCCTACTTAGCTGCTTTGGTGTATCTCATTAGGACAAGGAAACCATTCTCATATGAAGTACCTCTGACTTTAACTTTATCTGTCACAACTGAGTTACTTGAGGTAACTTCAAAGTCTGCAACTGCCGCTCTTATGCCACCGTCATACAGATCTGGATAAAATGTAGTTGAGTTGAAAACCTGAACCTGTGGACTGAACAGGCCACCATGACTCTGATAAGCCTGGTACAACTGATGTCTATCAGCAAGAGACTTGGTCACATTTTTGAAGTTTTTACTTGACCTGATGCACCTTTTGAAATAACTATGCTTGCTTTCAAAGCGCATAGTCCACGTATGTATGAGTGGACCAAACTGTAAACTCAAATCAGCATAGTGAAGCAGATAGTGGTGTTTTGGTCTGAGATTTACATGCGGGAATAACTCCTGCCTCATTTCCACATACTCTTCGACGAGTACCTTCATGTACGCAATCTGCGACTCTGATAGCATAGGTGCACAGACAATTTCAACCAGCTCCCTCAGAAGAAGTATAAGCAGCCATACAGCATTGTCAGCATCTTTAATTCTGTCATGCACCAAAATGGGTAAAAACCTCAACAGCCACCTGTTCTGGGCTGCATGGCCTCCAAGCTTTATTCCCTTGTTGGAAATGGCATTTGGTTTGTCACCACTTTCACCAGAAAAAGATCCAAGTCTGTCATTTAGTGACTCATAGCTGAACCACTTTTTTGTTTTTATTAGGAACTGCAAACATAGTGCTATGTCATAGTCAACAACACCTTCAAAAAGGTCATGTGCCAGACATGGTGGCAGTCCAGGCTGACAAACATGAAAGTTAGATAATCTGTTGAAAACACTGTTGCCTTTAATTCCATGATGCATTGTTACATCAGGAGACTCTCCAAAAAATTCAGAGACTCATTATATCCAACAGGATCTCTATGCATGGCAACTGTGAGTGAGTTAGACCTAAAGTCATCTTTTGTAACAAGACAATATCTACAGAAATACTCACAAGAGCTGAAGTTTTCTGTAAACCCACCAATCATGTGGGAGCCTGTCACGGTCCGCTGTGACGGACCGAGTGGAGAATGCGTGTAATGGACCCAGGTGCGTACACAAGTGAACAGACGGGAGTGAGCTTTAACAGAAGGCGAGCCTTTAATATGGCTGAAAACAAGGTGTGCAAATACAGCAGGGATGGCGTGGCTAAACAAAGACCTAAACTGGGAACAAACTATGGTGAGGCTATGGCTTGGAAGACAACAGACCAGGCATGGAAACACGGAGGGTAGGAACACAGACGACTCGACACAGACTGTAAGAAACACAGAGACTAAATACACATGAGGGATGATCAGGGGAAGTGGCCACACATGGGAACGCAGCTGACACACATGAACTTAACGACAGGACAGGAGGAGTGAGCTGAATACACAGACAGTGAATGCAGGCCTTCAAAGTAAAACAGGAAACATGAGACATGAACCGGGGAGACGTAGTACAGGGGGAGGTGACATAACTGACAGCATGAACTTGACAGTACAAGACACACAGACATAAACACACGAAGGGCAAGGGAGACGTAATGCAAGGGTAACATAATTACAAAAAGGGCTGGACTACCTTAAAGAACCTAAGCAAACAATAAACATCAAAATAGGTTAAGCATAACACACTGGGTCACACGACCCAGGACCATGACACCACCCCCCCACCAAGGGCTGGCTCCAGACCAGCGCACTCAGCCCAAACCACACAAGAAACAGAAACCACCGACGCACCGAGGCCGGCGCGGCGGGGGCAGCGCAGGGGAGCAGGCAGGCGACGCAGAACGCAGAGGGACGACAGAACAAAGAGAGAAAAAAAACAGGCCAACAGAAAACACTGGAGGCACGTCACGTACGAACAATAGTCCAGACATAGCTTCAGGGGGTCGGCCCGGAGGGCGGCAACACACCAGCCCACAGTTTATGAGTTCAGGCGGCCGACCCGGGGGTTGGCAACCCAACAGGCCACGCCATCTCCCATCAGGAGGCCGTCCATGTGAGAGGCAGTGTGCGCGCGTGCGGTTCGGGAGGCCGACCCGGAGCCCGCGGGCACAAGAGTTCAAGGGTCATACGGTCGGGGGGCCGACCAGGCGGGCGCCACAGGTGACAGAGCCGGTCAGGAGGCCAGCCGTGTGGGTGCAACGGCGGCGGCGAAGGGGACGGCGGAGCAGCTCAGGGGGCCGACCGCGCGGAAGGCAGCGGTGGCTCTCCAGTGTCAGGCGCACTGGCCGAGGCCCGGTGGGCACAGGACCAGACGAGGCAGGACCAGGTGGTGGCGTGGCAGCCACAGGCGACGGAGCCGGACCAGGCGGCGGCGAAGCAGGAGCTGAGGCAGAGGCTGGACCAGGCGACGGCGAAGCAGGAGCTGACGCAGAGGTCGGACCAGGCGACGGCGAAGCAGGAGCCGGAGCTGGACCAGGCGAAGCAGGAGCAGAAGCCGAAGCTGGACCAGGCGAAGCAGGACCAGGTGAAGCACAGGCAGAAGCAGAGGCCGGACCAGGCGTAGCAGAAGCAGAAGACGGCTGGACGGGCAGCTCGGGCCCCCCAGCAGATGTGGCATGGTGCTGGACGGGCTCCTCGGGCCCTCCAGCTGACGAGGCATGAGGCTGGTGCGGTTCTCCTGAACCCCCAGCTGACAAGGAAGGTTGCTGGACGGGCTCCTCGGGCCCTCCAGCTGACGAGGCATGAGGAGGGGTGCTGCGAGGTGCCGAGGTGGCACACCCAGGCATCCAGCCACAGGTGCAGGATGAGCAGTGATGGAGACCCCTGGCAAAACAGAGAGCTGAACAGGGGACTGAGCCGTTACCCTGGCAGAAGAAAGATGCCGCTGACTCTCTGGGAAGTTTAATGTAACATCACACGAGTCATTTTCCTTCCCACACACAAAGTCAGAGTCTGTATTCCCAGTCTTTGGTTCTTTACACTCAGAGGCAGAAAAACACAAACTCAGATTGGCTGCCTCACCCTCACCAGGATCACATAGACTAATCTTGGTCACACAGGCAGCATCTACCCCGTAATATTGCCCAGAGTCCGTAACGGTCCCAGCATCAGCTCTAGCGGAAGTTTCGCCATCCCTAGCAAGCGAGTTAACTGTTAAGAAAAACCCCTGTTCGAAAGTTGGACCCCCAAGGCTCTCAGTACAGTTCATTTCCTCTAAGGAAACGTCACGTTGTTTTCCTGTGACAGTCTTCACCTGTGACAGAGTTTCAGTCACCAAAGGGGCTAGTTCGACCACATGAGCTGCGTGTATAACTGAACCGTTCAAGGAAACATGGTTAATCAGTTCATGGCTAGGTTCCTGGACCTCCATTAAGTCGGCACAACTGGGTAAAGAAGACTCATTCACGTCCATTTTGAAGTCATGTGGTGGACTTGTAACCTGATCAGAGTCTGTGCTTACAGATACAGCAGTTACACTTACTTCTGATGGGACGGCTGGCACTAGGTTAACGCCAAGAGTCTGAATAAACTTTTCTGTGATTGGTTTGACAGAGCCATTAGCTTTAGCAGAGAACATATTAGGCACAAATGAAACAAAAGTGACGCTGTCAGAGGGGATTGAAGCCTCATTACGCTCTGACTGACAGGAATCATGCGGCTCGGCCTGGTATTTGGCAGTCTCAGGCCTGCATTCCCCAGCTACCCCCCCACCAGAAGTTGATTTAGACAGAGACTCTGAGTCATCTATGAATGGAAGTGCAGCTAACGCAGTGTCTGATAGAGCAGTGGCTGCCAGTGGTGGTGCAGACTGGGAGCTTACTAAATCAGTAGTGCTCCCAACCAACACCCCATCCTGAAATGAGTTAGAAGAAACAAAAGAACATGATTCCAAATTTACACAAACTGAAGGTAAAACATGATCATTAGAGACAGTATCGGAGGCCCAGATCTCAGCCCCAGCATTCACTGCGCCCTGAGGGGTGCTGGAGCTACGTGGTTCAGACATGTGTCCCCCATCTTCTTCGGGGGGGCACAATTCACTTTTAGAGTTCAGAACATAACCCACATTGCCATTACTGTCCTCTTGACTTGGAACACAAAACTCAGGTGAATTGTGCTTATCGAGTACAGGAGTGAGAGCATCACTCAGAGGCTGCTTTGAATTGTTCTCCTCTGGTTTACCTAATAATTTGGTCTCACACAATTCATAACAAGTAGTAGAGTCACAAGATGAATGAGCTGAGGACCAGTCAGGTTGATCACTGGGTACAGACAGGGTGTCCTTATTTAAGTCACACCGCTCATGACCAGAGGTTATATCACCACCCTTCACACCAAACATGAGTTCGAGATCAATACTGTCATCGTTTATTAAGAGAACGGGTGGTGTTGGGGAGCACTGGATCGCTATTGCTCCTCCAGCACATGTAGAAAATGTCTTTCTCTCTGGGGCGTCTGTGAACCCTTCATGATAGTCACATTCCAGCAACTTAGGGAGACTTTGAGGCAAAAGATTGTCACTAACCTCGAATATTAACGGGGTCCGAGAGGAAACGAGGGTCCCACCAACCTCCAGCTGCTGCGTGGTGCTCCGGCGACGTGGATGTCGCCTCCTCTTTGAAGAAACCACTGAGGCTGAAGCGTTGGCTGATGGGGAAGTGAGGGGTGGCAGACCCTGGCAGCTCCGAGGGCCCCCGAGAGCCAGGCGTGTTCCCCGAAAGATGTGCTGACAATCGGGGGTAGGCCACGGCTTTCCCCGGAGCTCCTCCTCTACATGGGTGCAAGCTGCTTGCTGCTGCTCACAGAGACCGGACTCCATGATTTCCGTAGTAGGTCTTTCTAAACAACTAAACACTGTATTGTCAGTCTCAGAACACGATTCAGTCATAGTGTCCGGCCCCGGCAAATCAATGCTCATCTCACTCTGCTTCATAGAGGGGACGTGAGGCACGAAAACGCAGTCACTCACCGGAGTTAATGCGGTGCCACGGCGGCGCCGGCGCCGCCCCCTTCTGGTAGCTGGCGCGATGGGCGCTGATGGCACCAATGCAGGGGGTGACGTAGCGGCGATCTCCCCGTCGTCCGCCCACATCCTTGCCAGAAATGAGGCAGGCGAAGTAAAGTCTAAGCGGATTGGAGACGGCGAGCGGCTGGTAGGCTGTGCAGCAGGTGAGAGGTCCTCCTCCGGGATGAGCCAGGGCTTCCACCGGAGCTCGTCCTCCCGATAAGCCCGTAACACCTGCTGCCGCTCTTCCTCGCCAAAGTCTATGGCCTCCGTCGTCTCCGTGCGCCACGCCGTGCGGCCAGACCGCGGTGAAGACGCGGAAGCCGACGGGGCGCGAGCGGAGGGTGTGTCGGTGGCGAGCCTCACCGTTCCAACCGCAACTGCTTCTGGCTCGCGAAGCAGCGGGGAAACGGGACAACAGCAGGGCTCCGGCGGCACCGCCCGCACACTAGGCAGCCGTGGCTGCGGACGGAGTTGGAGAGCGGTGACGAGAAAGTCAGTGATCAGCGGGTGTAGTGCCTCCCATAGCCAGGGAAACACAGACACGCATACTCCCACTTGGCGGGCTAACTCCTCCCGTTCCTCCTCCCCGGAGCACCGCAGCCATTTACCACATAGCGACTCCACCGTCTGGAGGATCTCCTTCTCTTGTGTCGCTGGGTCTGACATGGTCGCGTCGTACTGTCACGGTCCGCTGTGACGGACCGAGTGGAGAATGCGTGTAATGGACCCAGGTGCGTACACAAGTGAACAGACGGGAGTGAGCTTTAACAGAAGGCGAGCCTTTAATATGGCTGAAAACAAGGTGTGCAAATACAGCAGGGATGGCGTGGCTAAACAAAAGACCTAAACTGGGAACAAACTATGGTGAGGCTATGGCTTGGAAGACAACAGACCAGGCATGGAAACACGGAGGGTAGGAACACAGACGACTCGACACAGACTGTAAGAAACACAGAGACTAAATACACATGAGGGATGATCAGGGGAAGTGGCCACACATGGGAACGCAGCTGACACACATGAACTTAACGACAGGACAGGAGGAGTGAGCTGAATACACAGACAGTGAATGCAGGCCTTCAAAGTAAAACAGGAAACATGAGACATGAACCGGGGAGACGTAGTACAGGGGGAGGTGACATAACTGACAGCATGAACTTGACAGTACAAGACACACAGACATAAACACACGAAGGGCAAGGGAGACGTAATGCAAGGGTAACATAATTACAAAAAGGACTGGACTACCTTAAAGAACCTAAGCAAACAATAAACATCAAAATAGGTTAAGCATAACACACTGGGTCACACGACCCAGGACCAGGACAGGAGCCCAGGTTATCTCCCATTATGCATGCAACAGTACCAGTATACAGCTTGCCCTCAAAAGATATGCCTTTTAACTCCAGCTCACACAAGTCTGACACAAGTTTACTGAAAACTTTATCCACACCAAAATATTTGCAGTCTTCCTCTAGACAGAGCAGTACCAACTGTATTTGGTCAATAGCTGATCTGTGGTGTGTACATAAATTTCCCAAGGTTAAGTAGACAGCTAAAATTTTGTGCTTTCGTTTGGCAGATCCAAGAGGGTTGGCCACCTCAAAGGAATCTTGAAAAAGCATCACCTTTAAAGAATCTGGATCTGAAGAAAACATGGCATTAGATTTAATGACATGCCCATCTGTAATATCACAGATTGCACCATCAGCAGCAGAAACAGAATTAAAACTCTGTTGAACTGCATTTCCCTCTTTCAGCAATGCAGTGAGGCTTTCCAGAACTGGAATGTAATGATAATGCCTCTTCTGCCCATTATCATTGTACCCAAGCTTGACTTCCACAGGGTGAACATAGTTATAGTGTGCCTTGTAATACTGCAGCCTTCTATGGTGTGTAGATAATGAACCATTTTCATTCAAGGTTTCGTACATAGGACTCTGCTTGTAAACAGTTTGCTTAAGACATCTAAATGTCTCAGCTGGAACACCATACTGTTCAAGTTCTTGAGACAAAACATCCATTGTGTACTCCTGCTGAATATCCTGAAGGGTTTTCATTTCATTTGCAATCCCTGTAATTGTAGATGCTGGAACTAAACACTTTGCCTGCAATCTCAAGAAAAACAAAGCTAGATTTGTTGTATAGGCATATTGAATGTTATGATTCACAACATCAATGCTTTGGGCTGCATCAGTCACATCAGTGTTTTCAGTTACATTTTCTGTTACATGTGCTCCTTCACCTAGTAAGGGCTGTCCAACTTCACATATATGTGCAGGTGCTATCTGGGTGACAGTCCACCCTCTATGACACCTGGAAATGTGAGATGAAAAGGATGTCTTTACATTAAAAGTTTTTGCACAATTACCAAAAGGGCAAGTTACACTTAAACCCTCTTGTATGTGACCACTTAAGTGAGTCACAAGCCTTTTAACATCTGCATATTCTCTGTTGCAAAAATTCAACAAACACTTTAGCTGCACAGACACATTTCTGTTCCAGGTTTGTCTGGTACTTGTATCTTTGTGTGTCCGTGACATATGAACAGCAAAGCAGCTGCATGAGGAAAATCTTCTGCCACAATCTTTATGGCCACACAAAAAAAATACATTGTTAATGTGTCTGTGTGATCTGCAGTGTTTCAGGTATTCAGTCAAAGAGATGCACTTAAATCCGCAAACATTGCAAGTCAACATAACTGAATAAGGATGCACCAATCAGATATCATTCTGATCCAAACACAAAGAGATGGAACAAATAGTCATTGTAATATGTCAAACTACAAGCCAATCGATTTAATTCAAGCCTGTTTCAGTGTTTAACTTGCCACATTTCAGTGGCAGCTAGTGCGAGTTTCCCTCCTCCCCGCTCTCACTTACACCGGAGCTCAAAATGATAGCTTCCTTTTCAGCTTACAAAGGTAACAAGCTCACATGGCCTTGTTCCAGTTCTGCCAATGTTTGTTGTTGCAAAAATCATTTAAGGCACCCACTCCACAGATCACAGCTGTCCTATGGAGAAAAAAAAAATTCAAGATCTTGAAAGAGCATGTTTTTACTTAAAAGGAACTTTACCTTTTTATTCAATCATTAATATCCTCAGTTTAAATTTTTACCAAATTAACTAGATAAGCACCAAGTTAAAAAGCATACCAAAGTTAATTAAATGGTGTCATTAATAAATGCAGTCAGTCAATATAAAACCAAGCTTCATATGGGCTAAAAACCAACCAACCAACCAACCAAACAAACAAACAAACAAAAAAGACACACACACAAAAAAACCCCAGTGCAATCTGTAAAAAAT